GAAGAAGAAGAAGAAGAAGAAGAAGAAGAAGAAGAAGAAGAAGAAGACCTAAAGTGAAAAGACTCCAATCTGATACTCTTTCTAGGTGCATAGGGAAGGTTGAGGAGAGATAGCATGGGAAGGCAAATGTGACCCAAGCCTATGGCATCCCTGGATGTGGAAAATGGATCACCTCTTGGAAGACCCTGCTAATCTCAGGAAAAGTCAGTAACAAAACAGCTGGAGTCCTTGAGTCCTTGTGACTGGTTGACTCTGGGCTGCTGATCTATGAAAGTAGGAGTGATTCCCCTAAAACGTTTTAGGCCTAAATCTATTCCAAGCTCCATTTTCAAATTCAAAATCTCTTTTGCTTCTTCCTTCTCTCCTTCCCTCTCTCTCTCTCTCTCTCTCTCTCTCTCTCTCTCTCTCTCTCTCTCCTTGAGACAGGGTTTCTCTGTGTATCAAGCCCTGGCTGTCCTGGACTTACTTTGTACAGGCTGGCTTTGAACTCATAGAGATCCACCTGCCTCTGCCTCCCGAGTGCTGTGGTTAAGGGAGTGAGCCACCACGTCTGGCCCCTTTTTCCTTCTTAAATCATGCTTAGTGATTAGTTTTCTCAGTTGCGAGGCAATACATTTATGTGTGTATAATGAAGCATCTGGCCCTTCCCTATGAACTCAGAACTATTTATTGACTAAAAAAGAAATGCTTCATTGGATGGTTCCTCTTGTGCATTCTGTAATGGGGGCTAATGTGAAAGGAAGGGTAATTAACATACAATTAATTAGCCATTGTAGTTTAAACTGATTGGTAGAAGGTAGTCATGGAGTAATAGAAAAGTATTAGGTTAGGCAGTGGAAAAAGCAGGCTGTGCCTGTGGGCTGACATTGCTCAAAGCACAGGGGCCTTATGGTGTCTGTGTGGATTGGACAGCCATGTCCATCTTACCAGTGGAAGACAGAGGGATGCCTGGTAAAGACTCAAGTATAGTGGAGGCACATGGAGGTGAATGTGTCTTAGCACAGGCTTAGAGGGCACGAGCACCGGAAACGATGAGATCCTCACACACACTTCCACTTCACAAGTCCTTCAACTTCAGAGCAAAGTGGCCCACCAAGACCATGCTTCCCAAACCTTGGGCAAACTCAAGGAATCCTGAAAGCAGCACTTGAGTTCTCCTCTCCTTCCTGCAGATCCCTCAAGCCTCCTGAAGCCACCCCTCAGCCCTTCTCATGCTTCTCAGCTCTCAGTGTAGCTTTAGACGTGTCTCTCTTCTGCCTTCTCAATCTCATCTCTACTTCAACCTCCCCCACAGAACTATCCCCTCGAATCACCTGGTCTCTTTCTATATTGTCATGTTGGGAAGAGCAGTTAGTTATGCAGCTGATTGAGAGTAAATGTCCACCAGTTCTTCAAAGAGCCCAGTGTGTGTTGTAGGCACAGACAGCTTGGTGTCTCCTGCCACCAGATGCCCTGTGCCTGTGCTCCTGAACCTGAAAACTGGCCACAGGCCACAATGCAAGGACCGGAAAGACATCCAGGTCTTCTTTATTCAGAATGTTTATTTTCCTGTGCTGACGCTTGGTAAGCAGAGGTCTACATAATCACTGGCAATCGAGTCACAAGCATCTGGAGAGGTCCAGGAGCATCTGAGTCTATAGCCTTCTCCCTGTCTGTTTGCAAACTGCTATAGACCCAGCTAGTCTCCCCCCCCCACCGTTCTGATGGTGGAGGTCTAGTCAGAGAGGATGCGATCAATGTAGATGCTCTTCAAGATTTTCAAATTCATCAGGGTAGAGAGAGTTGCTCCAGGTTAGAGTAAGATGTGTGTGTGTGTGTGTGTGTGTGTGTGTGTGTGTGTGTGTGTGTGTGCGCGCGTGTGCGTGCTGGGGGCCAGTCCAAGAGCCAAAGCCTTCCCTTTAAAGTAGATAGACTGAGGAAGAGCAATGGTATCTTCAATGAATATTCCAACATGAGAACTCTTTAGAGAACTTAACTCTGATTTAAGGATAAGGCAATTTTAAGTACCAGAAAACTAAATTCTCTAAGAAATAGAAAAGCCAATCAAGGGTTGTTCTGATTTGAGTCTCTGTGACTGTAGTCTGACATAATCATTGTCAATGACACACTGCACAGCCAGCTATCATTAAATATAAGGCACTTAGTATACACTGACTACTGTTAGCCATCATAACAATGCTGTGTTGCAAGCTTTCTGCCTGAGCTCTAGAATGCTCGCCCAAACTGGCAGGTTGTTTTTCATAGCATATTTGGGGGCATTTGGGCTTATCCAACTGCCAAGACAACATTTTATAGAGAAATAATTAGGAAAAGTTCTAAAAGGTTGGTTCAGATGCTTAAGGTCATTGTCCATGGGACTTTACCCTGATACTGCAATCTAGTTTCTTTGGCTCCCTGTCATCACTGTTGAGGTTGACTGGTTTCATGACTCTCCATTTCGTTTCTCTAAAATGAAATGCATCTAGAGGCAACATTCAGTGGTCAATGCAGAAGACAAATGCTTACAAATGGTGATGACCTCATCTCCCTTTTATCCTTCATCCGTTGAAAGGATGGGAGGGTAAAACACGCGGATAGAGCTTTAGGGTTTTCTGAGAAGCCAGTCAGCCTTTACAGTGACAGTGGCCATACCTCCTCTCTTGGGGTTAGTACCAGGATTCTGTGCTCATGGCTCTAGAGGGAATGCTAAGATGATTTTCAAGTAAAACACAAACCACTTGGCCATCTGATCTCAGAGCTGCCAAGCCTTCCCACAGTGAGCACAAAGACACAGCATGTCCTCAGATCTCATCTCTTAAGAAAACAAACAGGAGCTGCTCTCTTCATCCTGGTAGCTGGGAATGAAAGGCAGTTATAGAATACAAAAGGTCAGGATTTGCTCCTTATACCAGGTAGTCACGACCTGTACCAAAAGAGGGGACAGTCACTTCCTGGCTAGGATCAAGTGTAGTTTCCAAAGGCAAGAACTTCATGCATATATATTTAGAACCACAGTAGAACCAACGTCCTCACTCTTCATCCTGCTAGCACTCTTCTGGGGAAGGGATGACACTGTGCCTTTAACAACCGCTTTGCTGCTGCTGTTGTTATTTCAGTGTTCTCTAGATCCAAAGGGACGTGACTGTTGAGTGGTCCCAGTCTACCACAGAGAACACTGCGAAATGTAAGAGCAAAATAGGTATAGCAATCCTAGGCCAAGACCCCAGATAAATGGTGCCTTTCTCCGCGTGTAAGTGGGTACCTATGTGTGCATTTACAGCTGTAGGCATGAGCAGGAAGCACTGAAGTGTGGAGGGGAGGAGCGAGGAAATGGGGAATGCCAGGATTTTAGATCACGTGTGTCCGGGACTTGAACCGAAGAGAGGTTTGGTACCTACCTTATTTGTTGCATCAATAAATTTGACTCCTTTATAGGAGACTGAAAGAATAATAGTGGGGACTTTCTTCATCTGCTCCGTCGACTTCTGAAATTAAAATTAGAATGCTGTGAGAGAAGTGTGTGTTGCATGGCAACTGAAGCACCTCGTTTTTTTTCCTCTTGAAAGATAAAAATGAACTGAAGCTAAACACGCACACACACACACACACACACACACACACACACACACACACACACACCCCCCAAACACAGATTTAAGCGGTTTGCGCTTGTAAAGTGTCTGTTGGCCCTACTACTTTTTGTGGTACAAGGCTACTCCTTACCCTCCACACTGCAGGAGGCCAGTGAATGCTGTGCCTGGTTCCCTAAGAAGACTCAAACCACATCATCTACCCAAAGGTGCATTCCAACAGTAACAAAATATACGCCATTACTGTTCCTTACTCCTCCTCACCTCAAAGCATAGGGGATGTTCAGGTGTGGACTTAAAACAGGGATTTAAAATACATCCCTGCAAATTTTCCTTGATCCTGGCCAAATCCCAGAAGCGGATATAATATTTATGGCAGAGTCGCACAGGACCACACAGGATTTCATACTGCTTGACACAACTAATCCTTCCAGGAGCTGTCCTTACTCCAACTCACAGCAAAAACGCTAGACAGGACAGGCAAGCTGCTCCATCATACAGCTCAGCCATACTTCTGCAGGCTAAGCTGTCCTGACAATGTTCACACTGGCTTCACACAGAGTGTCAGCAGCTTCTTCAGTGTACTCGGCCTCAAAAACTTCTGGCTTAGCCCTGTCATTTGTCACCAGTCACCAACAATCTTGTTGACTTCATTCTCCTCCACTCGTGCTCTTAATCACACCATTAAACATGGAGATGGACTTACCTGACAGTTAGCCTGGTGGATTTTCCACCCAAGACAGGCGGGAACAGAATAGGAGAGAAAACACACAAGACGGTGTGAGAAAAAGAAACCACTGCAACAATTCACCAACAGTGCAAGTTCATTAAAAAGCCAAGGGTGCCAGGAAGGCCAGCAGGATTTAGAGACAGAAGCAGATGCGGTGAGACTGTGAAGTCCAGACATGGCTGCCGGCTTTCGCTGGCCCTGCCTCTGCTTCTCTTTCTCCATTTTCTCATCCTTCTGTTTACCACGTTGAAGAACCTAAGGACTCACGTGCAAGCACGGTCCACTTTGAGCCTCAGACAGCTGGCTCTCTACATCAGGCATCTCAGGAAAAGGATAGGAACCTTTAAAATTTATGTGTATCACTCAATATTCCATTAAACATTTCTGAAATGTGATCGGAATTTAAAAAGGCCTTTAATGTGATGAGTGGAACTCTCTGAACTCAGTGGTGATGACAATGTTGCATCTTTCGTTTGGCCACTGGGAGAGGTCTTTTATGTCATCCTCATTGTCTTGGCACGTCTTTTTGAGAGCTGCCATATCTGTTTCCGAGATGAGGAAATTTACCAGGACAACGGTTTGAAATGTATTGCTCCCAGCCAATACGCAAAGAGAAGCTCTCTTGAAGTGATTTTTAACTAGTTTTAAAATTACCTAGACTTGCCAATTTTCTTTTGCAATTGCCAAAAAAAAAGTCATTCTAAAAAATGGAATATAAGATTATATACTTTCATGTTCCGAATGTTTTTCCTAACCACTTCTGGAAAATGTGCAAGACAAATCATAGGCAAGGCTAGAGGAAATCACATGCTGTATGCTGGGTTTAAGGCAAAGCAGTGGCTGAGATCGTGACTGCAGCTCAGGCAATCATTTTGTTGGCTGATTTGTGTGTGAAGAACTCTGCAAAGCGTAACAATGGATTTCAGCAAATCACCTCGTTCATCTCCTGCCATGAGTACTTTCTCCCAGACAGACCTATTTGTAACCTGAAACAATATATAGCTACATTAAGAGGAAAATACCAGCATTTCATTTAGGATTAAGAAAAAAACCATTTTTTATTTGTTCAGCAGTTGAGTGGTTACTTTGGGCAGCCTACTCTGCTAGTCGTTAGAAAAGCTCAGGGTCCATTTCAGGGCTGTGAAATTGTGCGTGAATGCCACTGCGAGACTTGGCCACCCAAGCAAGTGCTGCACTGAGGAAGATCTAAGTGGGAAACAGGGCTGGGCAAGATGCCTCCTGGGAGGAAGGGCGGGGCAGTATAGGAGCCCATCTTGGCTCACACAGCATGCATTCTTGGCCCAGCTGGGCATAAAGTACAGCCACAGAACTGATACCGGCAATGATGGCAATATGAACGGAGTACTTTTGGAACAGTGAACAGGGAAAGGTTCACCTTCAATGAAAGGGTAAGACAGGTATTAATTAATACATTCATTGATTTATCAAGCCTGATTACCTGCAAGGGGGGCGCTGAGCTGGCTCTGGAGGGATAAATAGCCATCTGAGTGGCAAAGAGAGGGCAGAGGGCTGTTGTAAGAGCAAAGTCACAGATACCTATACAGGAGACCGCTATGGTTGTACATGTAACTATCAGGAAAAGAGGGTCGTATTTGAAAGGCCAAGCTCAGACTCATCAGAAGCTGTTATGTAGGGAGTGGCACAAGAAAGAGCTTGTTGTACTGAAGACGGAGGTTAAGTGAGGGACATAGGAAACTGCTGTGAAGTCCAAAGGGCAGATGCTAGTTGGGCTGAAGTAGATGCATGGATAATGAGGGGGGCACAACCGAGGATGAAGAGTCAAGAGGCTCTCTGTGACATCATATCAAACGAATGAGTGGGGAAGTATCACAGATGAAGCAGCCATTAGCAGAGACAGCAATGCCAGAAGGAACATGATTTTGCAAAGACACACAGAGATGCCTCTACATGTTCAGCATGCTAATCGGTAAGAAGTGAGAGGTGGAATTCAGATGTGGGAGGGGTGGCTAAAGATATGAAAGTATGTGGGGTGTCTCAGGATGCAGTAAGGGTTGAAAGGGCCCCGGCCTCAGGGGAAAATTAGTTCCAGTGCTCCTTTTCTAGGACAGGGTTTCACCATATAGTCCAGCCTGGCTTTGAACTAGTGATCCTGACTTGGCCTTCTGAGTGCTAAGTGTACAGGCGTGTGCTACCAAATCTGGTTGGAAAGATACATTTTTTTGAGACAAGTCTCATTATGCAGCCCTGATGATCCTGGACCTCATAGATATGTACCTGCCTCTGCCCCCAGGTGCTGGCACTAAGGTGTGCAATACCATGCCAGGCAGACTCCTTCTTCCTCCTCCTCTTCCTCCTCCTCTTCTTCTTCCTCTTCCTCTTCTTCCTCTTCCTCTTCTTCTTCCTCTTCTTCCTCTTCCTCTTCTTCCTCTTCCTCCTCCTCTTCTTCTTCCTCTTCTTCTTCTTCCTCTTCTTTCTCTTCCTCCTCTTCTTCCTCTTCCTCCTCCTCTTCCTCTTCTTCTTCTTCTTCTTCTTCTTCTTCTTCTTCTTCTTCTCCTTCTTCTTCAGAGATGGTTTTTCTGTGTAGCCCTGACTGCCCTGAAACTCACTCTGTAGATCAGGTTGGTCTCGAACTTACAGATCCACCTGCCTCTGCCTTCTGGATGCTAGGAATAGGTGTGCAACACCATGCCAGGTAGGAGATGAATTCTTAAGCTCTAGCAAAGGAACTAGAAATGGAGCTAGAAGATGCCCATGGATGATGTCTCCTCAGAAGCCACGGGGCAGTGCCTAATCTCCTAAGAATGAAGAGGATCCCAAGAGCACTGCCTAACAAGTGGCAGAGGACTGCTGCTTTTATTATTGGATCTATGGGGTAAAATCCCAGCCTCTGGCAACAAGAACGATCTGAAATCAGTTGTATTAGTGACAGTCTGAGGAGAATGTTGGAAGCGGGTAGAAGACCTGAGGACCACAGTGGTTCCCCATCAGATAGATGGTCAATAGAAGAAAGACAAAGAGTCTCACAATTCCTGCTCCCTTGGCAAAGGCAGCTCTGGGGTGTCAGTGTCAAGGCTGGGCACAGTCTCTACAGTGCCATGTCGGAAGTGGCCGTATGTTTCAATACAGAGCCCAGAATGTCCTCTTTGTACTAAGTCCCTTGAGAAGAGCATGCAAGGCTTATTGATTTGTATAAAGAAAATTTCCCTGTGAGGCGCTCAGGACAAGCTTTGGTTTCTAGTTGCTTCTCCTTGTTCTAGGATCTCTGTGGAATTTCTGAGGTCTCCTGGCCTTCGGATTCCCTCTCTTCTGGTTGGTGCCAGCCTTACAGAAGGAACTTGGATAGGTAATGAGGCCCTCTGAACTCCTGAGCGGCTGAAGTAAGACTCCACATAAGGTTTACTGCATCTTGCTTACTTCGAAGAGTGTTACAGTAGAATGCAACCAAATTTTCTTTATGTTTTCCTAGGTTAAGATTATCATTCTCTTATTATTGCAAGAGAAATGGTAGTTGGTTGCACAGAGATGACACATTTTTGAAATCTGTCCTTAGTTCTTGGTTTAGATGGTCTGCATTCACCAAGCAGAGCAGAGTCGCAATTTCCTATCTGGAACATTGTTCCGAAGAAGTAATTGAACACTTTTAGACATTTTTTTTTTAAAAAAAAAAAAGAAGGGATTTTTAGGTTTATCAAGAAAAAAGAAATAATGTCTTTTCCCTTTCCTGTTTGTGTGGGTATGTGTTCCTATGTATATATGTCTTCCTGTGTGTGCCTGCACACATAAAAACATCATTCTTCAGACAGGATCTCTTACTGGCCTGGACCTCACCAACTCGTCTGGTCTACCTGGCTGTGAACCCCAGGGATCCACCTGCTTTTGCCTCCTCAGCACTGGGACTACAAACACGTCCACTAGTTTATTTATTTTTAGGATTTATTTCATTTTATGTGTATGTGGTTTTTGCCTGCATGCATGTATGTATGTATGTACCACATGCATGTCTCATTCTTGCAGAGGCCAGAAGAGGGTGTCAGATCTCCAGAACAGGAGTGGCCAGTGGGCACGTGCTGCCGTGTGGGTGCTAGGAACTGAACCCGAGTCCTCTGCAAGAACAGCCAGTGCTCTGAACTGTGGGATCTTCTTTCTCATCGCTCCTTTCTGCACACGTTCTGGGATAAAACTCAGGCATTCAGTCTTGCAAGGCAAGTGCTTTGCCGCCTTACCTATCTCTTCAGCCTTGTCTTACTGTTCTGATGTAGGGTCTCAGAGAGCCCGGATGGCCTCAGCTGTAGGTGAGGATAACTTTGAACCTTTGATTATCCTGTGTCAGTTGCCCGCATGCTGGCATTGCCAGGTGTGACCCACCACTCCAGCCTTTTTGTTTTTAAACATAAACAAAGAACTGTTTGGCGCCAGGTCGGAGGTGGTCTCTGGGGCTTTTGCTTCAGCCTTAAAGTATCTTCCGAGAATAAGTGCAGCTGTCCGTCAGCCTTGTGAGGGCTGAGAATGACTTAATGCCAAAACCCGTAGATGCGCAAGCTGTATTTCAAAGAGCATTAAGTGCATTAACCTATGCGTGTGCCCTCATTGTGTTAGGGCAGCACTTATGTATACTATCTAGTGCAATGCAAACACATGTCATCGTTGTTCAGTTCTGCTGTGGGACAATGGCAAGAAATAAAGTGCATGTCAGCACAGGTGCGGTACTTACTGAAAATCTTTCTGCAGTTGGTGGGGGCAAAACATATGTGTAAGGACAGCCCACTGGCTGCCCCACCCCACCCCTTTCTCCGTCTGTCTGTGTAGCTCGGGCTGGCCCTGAACTCCTGAACCTCTCCCCTCAGCCTCCTGAGCCTTGGGACTTGCAGCAGTCTCTCGCTTTTCAATTCAAAGTCAACAGTTGAGGGGCATCCTTTCTGAGAGCACGGATTCACTAAGCTCAGAGCATGCTTTCCTGGGTGTGAGGAGACTTGTGGGGCGGGGGCGTGCAGCTGTGAGCCGTCAGG